CCCCCAACAGCAGGCAGCTGCAGCAGAAGCAGCATGGAGCTGCTCCTTGACTGCTGTGCCTGCTCAGGTGGGGGCGGGGCTGGCTCCTGGCCCCCCCAGCCCTGCCGGTGTCCCCCAGCCATGACCCGTAACCCCCAGCCCGGCCACAGGGGCCCTCAGTCCCGTGCAAGCCCCACTTACATCAGGCTCCAGGAGTGAAGAGTGAAGCTGAGCTGAGTGGAGCTGTGGCTGACTGAGAGCCTCAGGCTCCACCCTTCCCCCTCCCCCTTCGGGCACGTCTGGAGGTTTCCCGCTCTGTTTGCAAACAGCTCTTGCAGGCTGGAGCTCAACTAGCCTGCAGAGTTGTTTGCAAAAGCAGGGAATCCATGAGTTTCTTTGCTAAAAGGAGAAATCCATGTTTTCTCTGATAAAAAAGGGAAGTCCGTGGTTTTCTCTGTTTTTCTATGGGAAACAGAAAACCAGGATCCCTGTTGATAGCATCTGTAGTATACAGGTGGTACAGACCTCCCTGCGCAGCTGCTATAAGCACAGCAAAATCACTGACTGTGTATGTTCACAGTGCTTAGCATTTAGTGAACAAGACAGAAACTTCAAGAAGGCAAGCAGTCAATAGTACTAGCCTTTAACATGGAAAAAGACTTTTTGCCAGTTGTAAGGTAAAAGGCATTTCCTTCTATGCATTATTCAGATAGACAGTGTATGGTGCATAAATATCAAAACAAACTTCAGTTCTCTAGATGGGTTCCCCAGTTCCTGAGAGGCCAGTTTCTGGTGCAGTATCTGCTACTTCTGGTTAATCAGGAGTTTCTTAGGCCTAATTCAGCTAAATGGACTTGTGATGTCATACTGCTATTCTGCTTTTAAGGTTAGTATTATAATAATGACTATCTCTTATGCAGCAATTTTTATAATTGGATCTCAAGGTGCTTTGGAAAGGATATAAGAGTCACTGTCTCCTTTTTACAGATGGAGACCATTAGACAGTCGAGGGTCTGTGGATATGTAAATTTGCTGAGGGTCACCCAGCAGGTCAGTGCCTGAACCAGGAAGATATCCACCCAAATCCTAGTACTGTATTCTACTCCCTAAGCCATACTACCTCCCCTATGTCTCCTACTGATTAGTCAGATCAATGAATAATGTTGTCTTGAGGGGATGTGGGGGTGTAGCATGGTGGCATCCCCAGGGAATGTACCCCCCAGAGACCCCCCAAAATTCCCTTTGTTCCCAGAGTGAGCAGGGCAAAGTTTCCCCTTCACTTACTTGCCATGCCTTGATGTCTTCTATGATTATAAAGGAAGGCTGCCTCAAGGCTTCCCAAACCTGGTTCTGTTCTAATGACCATCTGGTGGCTGAGGTCATTAGAACTTCGCCCTTATGGGCTAATTGCAGGGCTCCGTACCTTCCTTACATCATGCCCCATGCCTCGTGGATGGCATAATTGTGGAGATTCTCTTTGTCACACGCCTACACTCATGCAGCCCTCCTCTGGGCTGTCAGACCCTCAGTCTCACACAGCCCTCTTCTGGGCCATCAGACCACTCAGTGTCTTGCACAGACCCACTCAAGTCTCCAGTCCCCTTGGTCCCTCACTCAGTCGCTCTATGGGCTGCCAGACCCCTCAGTCCATCATTTGACTCCCCACCAGGTTGCCAGATCTCTTGTCCCTTACTTGGCCCCTTCCTGGGTCCTCAGACCTCTTGGCCCCTCAATTAGCCCTTCTCTGGGCTGCCAGGCTGATCAGTCCCTTTACATGACTTTTATCTATTCCTGGCCCCTTACTGGACTGCTGGATCCTTCTGATCCCACTCT